GCTGTCAGTTGGGGTTTATGTGAGATTCTGGGCTCCTTCTGGCTGCTGGAGCTTCCCCTCTAGAGCTCTGATGAAGAGGCAGAGCCCTCTCGGAAACACACGCACATGTGCACACACGTGCGCGTGCACACACACACACACTTGTGCAAACAGGCAGGATTGGGAGAGGAAAGGGGGCCCAAGAGAGGGAAAGTGAAGGAGAAGGAAGGACAGAGAGAGGGGCATGGAGCCAAGACAGAGCGAAATGAGACCAGAAATAGGATTCCAGAGGGAAAGGCGAAGAGCTGGATGAAGTAGGGAGGCTTCGAGAACTGAGAAGAGGTAGAGAATGAGTAGAGCCGGTGGAGGGGTGAGAAAAACAGTATTTCGGGGGCTTTTTGGCTGTTCCAGGAGAGATGGAGGAACCCCGAGGAAGAGAGGGTCCCACGCTGCCATCCTTTGGCTGAGCCTGGCCCAGGTCTGGGTGCTGCACAAGGCCTCCGGTCCACAAGCGTTGACCCGGGGTCGGGGGGTGACTGATGACGTGTGGGGATGAGTGGAGAGCGGCCCTGGACCCGTGAGCCAAATCCCATTTCAGAGCCTTGCTCTGCGGAGCCTGCTTGGGCCCACACCTAGAACGAGTCCAGATTTGTCACCTGCCCCTGCACGGTCCTCCCTTCTGGAAGCCTCTGCAGTGGTCTGAGCCCTGAGGCACCACTGGCAGGCGAGGCCTCTGCCTCGGAGGTGTGGATTGCACGAGTAGCCCCAGTCCTGAGAGGAAAACAGCAGAGCGTGCTCTCATGTATGACACGAGCCAGCCTGAACACACCCCTTCCACCCTGGCAGCATCAAGGACGAGTTGTGGCTTCCAAAATTCTCTTCATCCCCAAACCTGGACCAGGCAAGGGCCTGATGCCTGCGTGCCCAGGCATCCATCATCAGACAAAGTGGCTGGACTTGGTTTTGAGGAGGCTGCATTTGATGGGCTGAGTGGAAGGAAGCTTAGAGCACGGAAGGCACTCTCTGGTTCTGAGCACCAGGATGCAGGAAGATGTTGTCTCAGGACTGGAGGGAGGTAGCAGTGCCTTTGGTCCCTCTGTCCCATCTCCAGTCTCTCCAGAAGGGGAAGGCAGCCTTGGTCCCTGGAGAGGGGTGCAGGCGTGGGGGTTGGGGTTTAGTCAGGGTGGCCCTGAACTGGGGGTGTGTGGTCAGGGTCCCTACTGCTCTGGTAACTAGGCTGGAGAGAAAGCCAAGGCTGGAAAAGTTGCCAGGGGACATGGCCCTAGAAGGCTGGGGAATCAGAGCGACAGCTTCAGAGGCATGGGCTGGGCGGGAGAGGATAAAAATGGAGTCGGGCACCTGCCCGCCTTGTGCCAGCCAACACTTTCCCTGCCCCTCCACTGGCCCACAGGCCACCAGCTGGCCCATTGTCCCCAGTGAGAAATCAGACACTGGAGGGGGGCTCCCATGTGGCAGGAGCTCACTCATGCAAGGCCGCCTGGTAGGGACTGCCAGGGGAGAGCCACCCGTGCTGGGTCGGGCAAGGCGAGAAGGGGGGTGGCAGAGAGAGGATCCCTCACTGCACAGCAGTCAGGGCTCCTCCTGTGCCGTTGGCAGGGGGCAGTGCGTGGGGCCTGCGAACAGGAGATAAAGAGTTCAGGCAGAGGGTTTTCTCTCACTAACCGTGGATTTGTGTGTTTGTTCAGCTGGTGGCTCTGATAAGCCCCATTCTGCTAGATAAAAGCCAAGCAGCCATGAGGCGGGGCCTGGGGAGGGGTGTCATAAAGGGGCCTGCCTGTTTCTGTCCCAAGGCCTGGGGTTATCCCCTCCCTTCCCTAGGGAGCCCAGACAGGGAAAGGAGTCAGGCGCTGGGGTGTCATGCTCCCTGATGTGCCAGCCTGGGGTGCAACTCCGGATCCCCAGGGGCTGTCCAGAGCAGGCCCTGACCTGAGGGCACAACTCCCCAAAGGGCACATCATTTAAGAAAGCTGGCCAGGCTGGCTCCCGCCTCTGAGTGGGGAGGGCATCTCCTTGCCCTCCCCAGGGGCCTGCCCACCACAGTCCTAGTGGCCTCTCTGGGCCCTGCAGCCACTGACTGGGGCCCCTGCCAACCCCCTTCCCCTGTCTGCCCAAGGTGTGCCCCCAAGCTAACTGGGTGGACAAGGGCCTGCCCCCATCATGCCCCCTGACTGGCCTGAGGACCCCGTCACCTTGTCGGGGCAGGGGTTTACTTGGTAAACTGTTTGAGGGCCCTGGGCCTGGGGATGGCCCGTGGGGGCCTCAGCCACGTTGAGTGGGCCCTAGCCTCGGCCCTCCCTGCCCATTCCACTTGGCACTGGCCAGGAGGGTGAAGGGGGTGCCGCCTGAGCAGGATGGTGGGGCCCTGGCCACAGCTGCCCCTGCCGCAGGGCTGGCTCTTCTGCCTCTGAGCCCGGGTCCAGATTTCTAGTGTCTCTGCCTTTTGTCCTGGAGCTGAGCTGAGCGTGCCGGGGGCCGGCGGTGGTGGCATTGCGGGGATGCTGGCTGGGGCCGCCAGCCGTAAGATGGCTGCCAAGGGCTAAAATGGCTGCCAGCAGCGCCCGGAGCACCGCCTGGAGGCGCGTGGCAGCGGGCCTCGCCTGCGCTGGATCCTCACTCCTGCTTTCTCCCTTACGTGGAGATAATAGTAATAGCAGTAATGTTTCAGGGCAGTGTCCTGGTTTAGAAGGATTTCCTGTATGTCGCGCTCTCCTGGAGCCCCATTTGTCTCTGCCTCTGTCGCTGGCCCACCTCCATCTCTTTGTCGGGTTCTCTCGTCTTTCTGTCCCTGGGCTGGGTGTGCGCATGCGTGCGGCTTTCTGTCTCCACCTGGCCATTTTGGAAGAGCTGGGACCAGTCTCATTGAGTAGCCTCCTCCATTTCCTCCTACTCCACTGTCTCTGGCCTGGAGGGCTCCGTGGGGACTGAGTTGGTCCTGGGACAGGTGGGGTCGGTAGCGGGGACCCCTCGGCAGCAAAGCCTTGACTGTGTGCCCCTCGCTGGGCTCCACATGCAGGTGCTACAGCTGTGCTCTTCCTGAGGTATGAATCTGGGAAAGGACGGCCCTGCGAGACATCAGGCTCAGGGCCCTGGTCCAAGGAGGCCCTAAGGTGGGCTGCCTACTGCCTCAGCCCTTTCCTTGCCTGCTCCCTCCTGGACCGGCTGGGGCTTGAATCAGACCCAGAGAGTCAGGAATGAGCTGAGGTGAGAGAACAACAAGAAAACTCACATCCACAGAGAGGTTGCCCTCCCAGGAGCGTGGAAGGAAGTCCTGTGGGCTCTCTCCAGAGCAGAGTGCCAGTAGCAGAGAAGTGGCCTGAGGTGGGATTCGCCATCCCTAAACACACCACAGGGGTGAGTGCACAGGGAGGTGTGGAAGGACACACCCCAAACACAAGGGGGTAAGGGGCCCTGTTAGCACTTATAAAGCTCCATTTTCTTGATTTGTGACTAGATTTATTATTATTTTTTTTTTAGAATTTAAAAAAAAAAAAAAAGGTGGGCTTCCCTGGTGGCGCAGTGGTTGAGAGTCCGCCTGCAATGCAGGGGACACGGGTTCGTGCCCCGGTCCGGAAAGATCCCACGTGCCGCGGAGCGGCTGGGCCCGTGAGCCATGGCCGCTGAGCCTGTGCGTCCGGAGCCTGTGCTCCGCAACGGGAGAGGCCACCACAGTGAGAGGCCCGCGTACCGAAAAAAAAGAAAAAAAGTGAAACCATTCTGGGGGCAGCCTGTTTTTTTTCCACCTGCCCCAGTGAGGCAGGAGGCTAGGAACTTGGTCGAGCCGCAGTAGGTCCTGGGTTCTGAAAAGGCTACTATTCTGCCCACCAGCCCCAGCACCCAGGGCTCTTCCTTCCTTCCCAAGTGGCTGCAGGGTCCCCCCACTTCTATCTCTTGGGCCTATGTCACTCTTCAGGAACCTCCTTGCTGGTCACTCCCCAACGTGAGCAGCTCAACTGTGAGGCCTGTATAGGATGGACACCCTGGTGAGCCAGCTGATTGTGAGGTGGTGGGCGAGGGTGGTGGAGGCAGGGTTACTCCAAAGAGTCGGGCAAAGCCCTGGCCAGTACCAGGGCCCGGTTTTCTGAGGCCACCCCATGTGGTCCCCGTGTGAGAAGATGATTCTTTACCCAATGCCCGCCTTTCCCCTGCCCCACAACCTGCCCTGGCCCCCCTCTGCCACCCTCTCACCAGCTGTCGTGCCCAGGCAAGCATTCTGGAGGTCCCCGTTGTGCCCCTGGTACACAAAGCTTTGAGGACCTGGGGGGCAGGGGCGGGGGGCTTTCCCAAGCTCAGCAAAATATTCACACACACACTCCACCCTGCCCCCAGCCCTCTGTGAGCTCCCACCGCACAATGGGCCCTTGTCTCGGGGCTCCCTCCGAGCAGCTGTGGCACTGGGGCATGAGACAGCCCAGACGGGCTGGCACAGAGCAGGCGACAGCGTCAAGGCAAACCTCCCCCCACCCCCCGACCGCCCCGTGTTGCCAGGCACTGCCCGTAAGCATAAAGGTGAGGTGGGGGTGGCGTGGACAGACAGGAACGGCTCTAATTAATGAAGGGAGGGAAGGGGCTGCTCCTCTGGAGCTTGAGCTGGGTAGAGAATGGGGGGCCCTTGGGTCCATCCCAGCTGTGCAAAGAGACAGTCGCTGGCTTCTCTCCTGGGCGCCTCCTTGCCCTGACTCTCAGCCAGTGCGTTCACTCGTGGGCAGCTTGCCCCCAGGGCACATCAGGCAGTGCTTGGAGACCGGTCTTTTGGTTGTCACAACTGGGGTGCTACTGGCATCTAGTGGGGGGGTGGAGGCTAGAGATGCTACCAAACACCCTGCAGAGCCCAGGATAGCCCCACCACGGTAGTAGCAGTTCCTTCTCTCCCTGGTCTCCTTGGGCTGCTCAGGGAGGGGAGGAGAGTGAAGGTGTTTAGAAGGCTGGAGGGGCAGCTGCTTGCCTGGTGTTCGTGGAGCACTTTGGTTTTGACCCATCCCCACCCTTTGTGTCTCCTGCAGAATCCGGACAATCAGATAGTTCAAACCAGCAAGGAGATGCGGACATCAAACCACTGCCCAACGGTCAGTGCCCCCTGCCCTCCTGCCTGTACCCAGCCTCCCTGGCCTGCTGTGCCCCACACCCTTCTCTGCTCTCCCCGGCCAGGGCAGGCCTGCCCCTGCCATTCCCCTTCACTCAGCTGTCCCTTGACTGAACTTGGGCTGCTATTCAGAGGGGGAGGGCGCTCATCGGTAGCACACCCTAACTCCCAGGGAGATCTGAGACCCCTGAGGGCCAGCCTGGGGCTGGGACATGGGGCATGGGATGGAGCAAGTTGAGGGTGGGGAGAGCTTTGGGGAAACAGGCAGACGTCCCCTCCTGGCCTTGCCTCCACTCACTCACTTGCCCTTTTCCCTCCTCAGGGCACTTAAGTTTCCAGGACTGTTTTGTGACTTCCGGGGTCTGGAATGTGACGGAGCTGGTGAGAGTATCACAGAGTGAGTCCCTCCTTCTGGGCCAGGGCTGAGCCAGCAGGGGTGGGGGTGAAGCGGTGGGACTTGGACCCCACGTAGCCCCCCACTGATGGGGTCTTGGTTGGGGCGGGGGCAGACAGGTTTCCTGGGACACTCTCGGCCTCACTGGCATGGGGCTGGGTGGAATGGAGGCATCCAGAGAGCCCCACCTCTAACCTCCATTGCTTTGGAGGAAAAAAATCGTAACCAAGGACTCTTCCCAACAACCTCCAGCCAGGAGGAGGTTTCCTCAGCGGCCTTCACAGCGAACTCACCCCAGGGCTTCTGGGGAGCTGCTCATGGCAACAAAACAGGCACCCACACTTTCCAAACCTCATCACACTCTCCCTTCTTCCCAGCTCCTGTTGCGACAGCATCAGGGCCCAACTTCTCGCTGGCAGACCTGGAGAGTCCCAGCTACTACAATATAAACCAGGTGACCCTGGGGCGGCGGTCCATCACCTCCCCTCCTTCCACCAGGTGAGCCCCGCACCCCGGCCTTCCCCCAGCCCCCAGGCATCTCAGGCGCTTAGGGCGGCTGTACCACTGGGGCCTGGGTGCTTCAGAACATCATCCTTTGTTGAGGGCACTGGCTCCAGAGCTGGGGCTCACTATGCTCCCCAACCCCTGAGATTCCTGCTTTGTGCTGACACAGGCACTCGGCCTTGGGGACACAAACTCAAGCAAGGCATGGCTTTGCCTAGAAGGAGCTCCCTGTGGGCATTGGAGAAGGCCTCTCTCTTGGGGATGTGACATTTGAGCCCAGGGGTCTGGTACAGGCATGGGGTGGATGCTCGAGGTAGAGAGAGCAGCCTTCAACCTGGCCAAGGCTGGGCGGGCTGGCGGGACTGTCCCACGGAGGACTTCAGAGGCCAGAGGAGGGTGTTTAGGGCTTAAAATCCACTGACGGCTTTTAAGTAGAAGATGCTGGGGATATGTGTTCTAGAAAGTACTTCTAGAAGAAGTTAGAGGCTATCCCAGCAGGTTGGAGGGGAGGAGGGCCTGAGTCAGATGGGGGATTGGCCTGAGAGGGAGGGATGGAGTTGAGAGATATTTGGGAGGTAGATATAGTAGGCCCTGGTCAGGCCCTGGTCACGCAGGGCAAGGTGGGATCCTGTCCTTTTTTAAAAAAACCTTGGACATTTTGGTTCATTGTGAGGTTTAGGCATTCATTTTGATATGTTAGAATATTGCATTAAAATGTTGTGATGTTTTCATATTTAATCATACTTTAATATAAAATAACATAATATCACGATGACTGAGTTTTGTGTCACCCCCTGGCATTTCTGTCCCTGGCCAGTGCCTCACACGCCTCGCCCTAGCCGTGGGAGCTGATGGGAAATAGAAGGTGGGGCTGAGGAAGCAGTTGAGGGTTTTGCCCACTTCTTTGACTTGGGCAGCTCCATAGATGATGGATGGTATTGTGACTGAGAAGGGGCTCAAGGAGGAGTGGGTGGGCTGGGCCCAAGGGGCTGTAGGTCTGGCCTTGGGGGGTGGGCACACAGCGAGTGCCCTGAAGTGCTGCTGACAGCGGGCACCCACTCCCCACATGGAAGACTGTCAGCGCAGGCTTCCTCGGCCTGCGTACCAGCACCTCAGCTCATCCTTGGCCCACCTGACCCCTTTCCTCCTTCCCCAGCACCACCAAGCGCCCCAAGTCCATCGATGACAGCGAGATGGAGAGCCCTGTCGATGACGTCTTCTATCCTGGCACAGGCCGCTCCCCAGCAGCTGGCAGCAGCCAGTCCAGCGGGTGGCCCAACGATGTGGATGCAGGTATGGGCGCCACAAGGCCCGACCTGGAGCAAGGGCAGCATGGAGCCTCCTCTTCCCCCTCAGTTTACCTGGCAAACCTCTCACCGTTCCTCCTCCTGTTGGTGGCACTGCCCGTCTTTTCACCCCCTGAGCTTCCAGAGGAGGGCAGACCAGGAGAGCAGAGGCGAGCAGCTGGGTTGTCCCTGAGTGGGCAGTAGAGCCCACAGATGTGGCAGAAGGAAAGCAGAGGCCCCGACCCTGAGCCTCCGGGGCCCTGCAGTGGGGGACGTGGCCTCCCGCTCAGAGCCTCCTCATCCTCCTTCTCTTGGTATTTCTTTAGAGAGGCTGCCCCGGTTCTACGGTCTTCATGGTTTAAAGCCATTTCTCAAACTGGGCACTCTTGACATTTGGGGCCACGGTATTCTCTGTAGCGGGGCCATTTTGTGTCCTGTAGGGTGCTGAGCAGCAGCCCTGACCTCCACCCACTAGATGCCAGGAGCAAACCTCCTCACCAGGTGTGATGACCGAAAAGGTCTCCGGACATTGCTGAATGTCCCCTGGGGGGGACAGGACCTTCCTAAGTTGAGGACCACTGGTCTAAAGGGCCCACCCTCACAGAGAGGAGCAGAGCCTAGTAAAGAGCAAGCAGAATTGTTTTCAGGCCTCCCGATCCTCTCTAGCCACACCCTTGCTGGTGAATACACCCACCTTCACCTCCAGTCTTGACAGGAGGTATGGGCACACCTGGAGAGCCCAGGCGGGACAGAGGGGGGCTGTGTGTGTGTACGTATTGCACAGGTGTGCATAAGGAGGCTGCCTGCAGGGTGCTTCTGCCGGACACATTATTGGTGCAGCCTGTGTGTGTCCTCAAAGTATGGGTGTCTTGGGACCAGGTAGTGCAGACCTCTGTGTACGGGATGTGCATGAGGTGTGTCTTCGTTGGTCAGGCTTGGGGACAGGGGCCTTGTTCTCAGACGCAGGAAGACGAGGGTCTACCTGATGGTGTTTTGCTTGGTATTTTGTAGATGTTCCCCTACCGGGAAGGGCCAAGTGGATGGGCAGGGGCCAGGGCTGGGGCAGAAGCAAGACTAAAGGGCAAGGGGGTGCTTCTGCTTTCCTGCTGCCCCAGATGCAACCTCTGGCTTCCGCTCTCAGCAACCTGGGAGGAAGAGAGGACTCACCTCCGGGCCTTGGGCTGAGGGAGAGGGTTAGACCAGCAGCAAGGCTCACCTCTGCCGGACAGCGCTCCGGCACGACTCTGGGTGCCCCTCCCAGGGTGTCGTGGCCAGCACAGCACAGATGCTTCACTGGGGGAACCTCTGGAGGTGCAGAAAGAAGGGCTTGAGAAGGCCCTGAAGACTCCCCAGCTAGGGCCTCAGTGAAGTGTTTCCTCAAGGACTGGTGTGCCTTGAGGGCCATGTCTACTGCTGCTGGCTCCTGAGGCGTGGGCCCCCAGGTCCCTCTGCGCAGACCTGGTTCCCGAGGAACCCTCCCCTCCGCAGTTCCCTCTCTCTCCTTTTCTTGGCTGCCTGCTGTCGAGCTTGCCACTTCTGCTCCTTCCAGCAGTCCCGCCACGCACGGCCCCAGCATCCTCCTGCAGCACCCCCAGCTCCCTCGCCTTCCCCCCTTTTCCTGTGTACTCATCCCCTCCTCCCACCGACCCTGTGCTGTTTTCCTGTTCTGGGACAAATCACCAATTAAGCAGCCCAGCTGCAGGACTGGGAACAGCTGGGGAGGCACTGTGCGGCCATGGGGACAGCTGTGCACAGCTGGTGGAGGCGCTCCCCCCATCGTGCCAGCTATCAGGTGGCACACAGCTGCTGCCAGATAACACCTCTGCTGGCGGCTGGGAGTTCACCCTTTCCCCGCCTCTTCCCTCTGTGGTTAAGACAGCTCTTATTTCTGTGTTCTGAAGCCTCCCCCCGAACCCCCCCCCCCCCCCCACCCCCCCCCCCCCCCCCCCAACCCAAACCGATTCAGTTTGTGTCCCAATGATGGCAGCTCTGGATATCTGCCCTGACTTCCCCTTATCCCTCCCAGCCTGGGCATAGCCTCAAGGCCCAGCTGAGGACAGGAGACAAGCTCCCCTGGGGGACCTGGCCTGGGGGCCCTGCTTTGTATAGCATCTTGGATGTCATGCCCACTGGGCACGGAGATGACCTTGATTGGCAACATCAGCCTCTTAGAGGGAGAGCTCAAATGGGGTATTCTCTGTGTCCCTGTCTCCTGCTGAATGTCACCCCATCTCTGGTACTGGGAGCCGAGCAAAGCCCTGGAATTACCCATGCTCTGACAGTCCGGCCTTTGGGTCCCCTGACTGAGGAAGTCCTTTCCTGTCTAGCCGTAACCCCTGCACCCGCCCAGGCCCTCCAGCCTCCTCCCTGCTCTCTGGTCAGATGCTGTTTCTCCACTGTGGTCCTTCCCAAGGGCCAATGGCTGTGCTTTCCCTTCCAGTAAGGAGCCCTGGTTTCTTCCCATCGGAACCTCCCAGAGCCCAGGGCCCCTGCGCTGCGCGGGAGCTCAGTTCCCTGACCAGCGATCAAAACCCCGCCCTCACCCCCACCCCACCCCGCATGGAAGCGCGGGAGTCCTAAACCCCTGGACCGCCAGGGGAGTCCCTGGGCCGGCTCGCTCTGAAGCTGCTCTCCCGGGCTCCGCCTGCACACCTTCCCTGCCCTCTGGCCCTGCATCCCCCCTTTTACTCTGTTCCCCTTGAGCTCCTTATCTGCTTGTCAGGGGGCAAGATGGGCCCCCTTGCTCACTCCCTGCCCAGTGCACCGAAGGGCCTTATTTTCCTCTCCTGTCGGCAGCACCCACAGCAGGATGGTCTGCACACGGCCTGAGAAACAGAGCCGCAGTCAGGCAAAGGAGGCAGGAGGGAGCCTGGTGGGGGAAGGGGCAGCCGGGAGGGGGCCGAGGAGAGAAGGAGTGAGCTGCTGGCTTCCCACCTTCCCCTGCTCCCTCCCCAGCCCAGCTAAACCTGCCCTGTGTTGCTGATTCCTCCCCCCAGGCCCGGCTTCTCTAAAGAAGTCAGGAAAGCTGGACTTCTGCAGTGCCCTCTCCTCTCAGGGCAGCTCCCCGCGCATGGCTTTCACTCACCACCCGCTGCCTGTGCTTGCTGGAGTCAGACCAGGTGAGAAATGGAGGGCCCGGAGGGGGGCAGTGGGGGTGGCAGAGGAGCCCACATGGGCAACTGGCCAGGCAGAGGGGCCAGGGCCGACCCCGAGTGACAGCCCCAAGCTCTCTGAATGGGCCATGGTATGGCAGTGGGTGGGCATGGGGACGGGCCCTCCCTCCGCAGCAGTGCCTCCTCCAGACCCAGGCCGGCCCTTGGGCCTCCTCACCTTGTTCCTCAGCACTCTCCCCCTTGCTTCTCACACCCCCTGTGCATGATGCGTGCTTGTGCGCTGTGTGTGCACGAGTGTGTGTGTGTGTGCTTGTGTGCGTGCAGCGGATGCGTGTGTGCTCGTGTGTGTGGCACAGGCCTGTCCTGAGGCTTCCTCCCTCCCACTTACCCCTGACTGCGGAAGCCTCAGGCCCATTCCTACGCAGTTCTCCCGCCCTCCCTCCAGCTGTGGGTGGGATGGCACAGGCTTCTCCCTCTGCCCTCCTTTCAGCTCTTGTCTCTCAACTCCTCACAGGGCCCGGGGCCTGTTTCCCCAGCACCAGCCCAGGTTGGTGTGAGCACAGCACTCCTAGGAGCCCAGGCTCCCTTCCCGGGGCCTCCCTGCTCTTTTCCAGAAGTGAAGGGCTAGGCCAAGGGGGAAGGTGGTACCTGGGCTGCTCTTCAGGGAAAGGAGCTGGCCCTGCTGCCTTGGGAGCTCTCTTGCTTCAGTCTCACGGACAGAGTGCTCGAGGGGAGGATGCCTCCATGTTCTGGAGGGGATGGAAACGGGCAGGAAGCTGTGGAAGCTGAGTCCTCAGCCACTTGCCTCTTCCCTCTCTTGGCACCTGTCTGGCAGAAAGAGGCCTGGATTTTTTCTGAACACTGCCCTGTGTCCTGTGTCCACCCTCTGTCTCCTGGGCCCTCCACGGAGAACACTGAGGTCTACCCTCCCGGCTTCTTCCTCAGGGCCTCCTGGCTGGGAGCCCAGAGGCAGCCAGCAGCGGGGCAGGGCGTGGTGGCCGCAAGGTGGGGGCGGGGAGCCCAGGCCCTCTGCACAGGCAGCGGGAGGGCAGCAGGCCCTGCTCAACTCAGCTTTTATGAACTCCAGAGAGAAGCCAAGTTTCTTCAGGCCCCTAATGAAACTGAGAGCAAGAGGGAGCTGATTGGAAACAGACAGGAGGGGGAGGACTTGGCCAGGGAAGAGCTGGGGCCTGCTCCAGGGTGGGAGTTGTGCGTTCGGGGACGTGCGTACGAGCGATGGATGGGGCTGAGCACAGAAGAATGTGGCCTGGGCGGCAGCAGCCAGGTGCACACCCACCGCACGCAGGACATGTGTGTGTGCACTGCAGGGGCCCCTCTTGCACTGGCGCAGGGCTGTGTGTTTATCTGCAGCCCCACAGAACTGTCTGTCTCCTCATCAAGGCTCCCCACCCAGGCCCCGGACCGGGGTGAGGTGAGTGAGGCACTCACCTCGGCGCAAAATGTCAGGGAGCCCCTAAAATCTCAGTCATCAAGATAAATTTTATTTTAATGCAGTATTTCTAAAAATTAAAACGATTGCAAAGATACACGATGAGCAAATGTCAATATTTTAAATAAAAGATCGGACCGACCTTGTGCTTGCATGACCCTCACTTACCTCACCCTAGCTCTGGCCCTGGTTCCAATCAAACTTTATTTACAAAGATAAGTAGCTGGTCTGTGGGCCCCGGTTTGCCAATCTGACTTTTTAAAATATTGCATTAAAATGTTATTTATCTTGATTTGCTGAGTTATTTGGCACCATCTTAACTTTCACACTAGCGGCCAGTGCCTCGCTCTCCTCGCTCTGGTCCCTGCCTTGCTCCTGCCCGTTCTCTGGATCCAAAGTGCTCTGACCAGCAGTTCTCCTTGTCTTCAGTGCCCCCCACCCCACTGCCTCCTAGGCCCTGACGATGCCCTTTTCTTCCTGCCACGTGCATGCAGGGAGCCCACGGGCCACAGCATCAGCGCTGCACTTCCCCTCCACATCCATCATCCAGCAGTCGAGCCCATACTTCACGCACCCGACCATCCGCTACCACCACCACCATGGGCAGGACTCGCTGAAGGAGTTTGTGCAGTTTGTGTGCTCGGATGGCTCGGGCCAGGCCACCGGACAGGTGAGTCCAGAGGACCCCACGAGCCCCTCTACAGCTCATCTTTGCGTCTGTCTGTCTGTCTCAGGGCTCACAGGGAGAGGGCCCAAAAGCTGGGAGCCCACCTGGGGCTGCAGCAGCAGAGAGCCGGTAGTGCCGAACACCTCGATCTTCTGGGTCTGGGAGTAGGGGTCCACGTATCAGGCCGGGGCCTGTTTGTCATGGTCCAGAGATGAGGGGGCAGTGGCTGGGCCCACCTTGCTTGGGCTTTTCGCCCTCCTTGTGGTCTTTTCCTCTAGCAGGAGTGTACCCATGATCTGTCCAACCTGGGCCCAGGCCCCTTAGCTCCTAACACCCCTCTTAAACCTCAGGGCTGCAGGGATTTGGTAGGTTCTAGACCAAGGTTTCCCACTATTGACACTTGGGGTTCTTCATTCTCTGTTGTGTGGGGATGTCCTGTGCACTGTGGGGTACTGAGCGGCATCCCTGGCCCCCACCCACTCTGTGCCAGCAACACCGCCCCTTCCCCAGCTGTGTTGATCATGAATGTCTCCAGATTTCGGTGTGCCCTGGGGGCATCATCATCCCCCAGTGAGAAGCCCTTAGTAGAGGGCAGGCCTAGTTCCACAGGGTCTTTCATGAGACTCCTGTTGGCAGGACTCTTAACAAGGGGTTCTCAGGTCAGTCATGGTTCTGGAGTGAAGCCTTCTGCTCCTCAGCCTGGGAGAGAGACTGGCTCCCCATGGAGCTCTGTGGCCCTACTGTCCTTCTCCGTCAGCAAGCCCCGGGGCCTGGTCACTGATGAGCAGAAACACAGAGCCACTCAGCAAAGGAATTATCCCAGACGGCAGTGGGCCAAAGGTGACCCTTCTGTGGGACGGTGGTCCTTGTTTAGTCCCTGGGAGACCATTCCAGGTTGGGGCATGGTGGTCGCTAGACCTCTGGGAATGTTCTGGAACTCCAGCAGCATGCTGTGCTATGAGAAGGCCCAGCTCCTTTCTCCACAGTTGGTCCAGCCTGGAACCCCACTGTGAGAGATCAGATGGGGAGGACACTCAAAGTGCCTTGGTAGGGAAAGACATTGGGAAGCCCATGCCAGAGGCAGCCCAGCGAGAGCAGCGGCCCTCCGCTCAGCCTGGTGCGGCCTCGGGGCGCCCTGCGCGGTGCTGGTGTATTGATCTGGGGCAGGGCCGTGGCTCAGCCTCCTTGCTCTCGCTGTCTAGGACAGAAGCCAGTCTCCTTCCCTACCTCCCACTCTTCTTCCTCTTCCACTTTTCTCATCTTTCTCTCCCCTTTGCCCTGCAAGGGTTTCTTTTGCTGGCTCTGCAGCTCCTTAGCACACTCAGAGCTTCGCCCACCTCTCTGGACAAGCTCTGTCCACTCTTAGGGGCATGGAGGGAAAAGTGGACATGACTCCAACAGCTTCCGTGCTTCCTTCAGAGATGCTGGCAGAGTCTACGGGAGCTGCCAGCATGTGTCCCAGCCCCCAAGGGGCCTGGGGTCTGGAATATGGATCAGAGAGGCCAGGAACCCTTCCGTGCCTGCTTCTCACCTAAGGACGCAGCTGGGGTTTGGAATCAAAATGACAGCCACCTGGGGGACCAACTTAGCCCAAAGAGCCTAAGCTGACCCACAGGACCCTCAAGAGTGTGGGTCAGTCCATCCCTGGGCATCCTGAGGGCCAGGTCTTGAGCCTCTCCCTGATCAAGGGCTCAGGAATTCCCTGGAGGTCCAGTGGTTAGGACCCTGTGCTTTCACGGCCGAGGGCCCTGGTTCAGTGCCTGGTCGGGGAACTAAGATCCCACAAGCTGTGTGGCGTGGCCAAAAAATAAATTAAAAAAAGATCAAGGGCTCACTTGGCCTAGACGGTTCTCTTCTCAAGGCAGGTGCCTGCTTGGAGTATACTGCAGACAAAACGCTACCGACAGGGGAGCAAACAGCCCCTCTGGTTAAACAGAGAGTCTAGTTCGGCTGGAGAGCAGTCTCTGCAGGTTTCCTCTTGTGGCCTGTTGTGCCCAAGAGTTGGGGGGTGGGGCTTGAATTCTGCAGTGAGTCTGCTCCATTGGGCCCAGTTTCTGAGAGGAGGCTAGAGATGGCACCACGCTATGGAGGAGGGGCGAACCAGAGAGAGGCCCTGGGCTCTGCAGCTGACCTGGTGGCAGACGGTGGCGGTACAGGGCTGTGCTTGCTCCATAGCCACCTCCAGAGTAGTAGTTCTCAGTCTTAGCATGTATGCGAGTCACTTGGAGGCCTCACTAACACACAGGTAGCTGGGCCTCACCTAATTCTGATTCAGCAGTTCTGGTGTGGGGCCGAGAATCTGCATTCCGCCCCCCCCCCAAGTTCCCAGGTGATGCTGCTTCTGGTCAGCGGACCCACTTTTAGAACCATTGATCTAGAGACTAGAGGAGTAAATTCCTAATCTCCTTGAGAATCTGAAGTTATGGATCATCTTTGCAGAAAAATACATGCATACAAAATTTTACAGACAACTTGCAGAATGGTTCCCAGGCACCTCTTAGACCTCAGCGTAAGGCCCTGATTGAGAAAACCACATCGGTAAAGGCCAAGGTCAAATGGAGACCACCACTTAGAGGACATGCAAAGGGCAGAAAGAGGATACCTGGTTAGCTGTATTTCTGTCATAGAGAAGAGGCCACCAGGTGAGCACGATGGAGAAGTTGCAGGGCCTGATGGGAGAGTATGACTCTGGGAGGCAGAAAGCCTGGTACTAGCTCAGCCTTGACCACCAGCGCCAGAATGGCCAGGCCCGCATCTTCATCTGTCAGATGAATGTGAGGAGCTCTCCCAGCCCCTAGGTTCCTTCTAAGATCTTAACTCACAAGGTCTTAAGGCACTGCAAAGTCACAAGACCTTGAGATTTTTAAAACCTCAACTTGTACCCCAACCAGAGCTGAGACATCCTAGCCTGGCTGGGACTTGCTTCCAGAAACTGAATGTTGTAAATCGGCAGGTTTCGACGTCTGGCCATATTGGGCTAGGATTTGCTTTATTGGATGGGGTTAGTGATTTAGATCCTCCTAGGCAGAGACAGGCTCTGAGGAACCAGAGGCTGCCCTATGGGAGCAAGGGCTGCCTGGAAAGCTCCCGTGTCCCAGCCCCCCCTGGAGCCCAAGCTCAGGACAGCCCGGAGAGAAGAAGTGAGGCTGTGAATCTGTTGGGATCATTCCATTTCCTGCCCTGATGGAAGAATGAGATAGGAACAAGATAGACTGTGGAAATGAGGGAAGGCAGTTTCCATGTGTATGTCAGAACCACCCTGCAGAGCCGGAAACCCTTGCTCTCTGGCCGGTGCTGTTGCTTGGAACTGAAAGGTCCATTTCCAAAATGACACCCAGCACAAAGGGTCTTCAGCCCAGGACACCAATAAGCACGAGAGGCAGCCACTGCTTGCTTTTGTCACGGGCCTCTGAGTGGGCAGGAAAGATCAAGTCGAGGGAACCGTTTGGAGGGACGGTGTCAGACCTAGGTGACTGGTCACTGGAGGGTGGGACAGCAGAAACTCAGAAGGGCATGGCCTGCGCGGTTCAGCCATGGAGCTCTGTGGTTTTAAAGTGCAGCAGGATGGACTAAGTTGATTCAACTCAGTCAGTGGGACTTGAGTGCTACATGCTTGGGCCACACAGAGGTGACATTCCACCTGCTTGTTGGGGAGCCTTGGAGGCAGTCTGCTTCAGAGGCTCCAGTGGAGGTCAACAGTGTCCTGGAAGAACAAGAGAGAGAGAGAGATGGATGGTGATTCAGGACATCTGGCTGGTCCCCATGCTGGGGATGGTGTTTTCTGAGCAGGCTTTGAAGGGTGTGAGAAAGGGTGTTCTAGAACAGTGGGTTCTGCAGTTAGCAAGTGTGCAGCCCCGACTGCTTAGGCTGTGTTCTGGAAACCCCAGTAGGTTTACAATGGGAAGTACTCAGTGGGGAGGGAGTGTAGGGGCATGAGAGCTGGAAGACCCCATCTGGGCTCTATCACGGCGGCCTTGCGTGCCTGGCCGGGGAGATTATGTTTTATGTCAGATGTAGTCGTAGCTGTGGAAGGTTTTAGGGCATCGGAGAAGTCTGAACTCCTTTGGGTTCGGGAAGAGGGTTAATGAGTCTGTTGGAAAGAATCCGTAGGATCCTAGGAGTTAGACAGACGTGACTCTGACTTTCAGGCCTTTCCAATTACAGCCGGGTGACCTTGGCTAGACCACTTAATCATGAAGAGCCTCAGTATCCCCTGTTGTGAAAGGCGGAGAGTAGAGCTTCCCTTGCAGCAAGGTTTCTCAGCCACAGCACTGTTAATCTTTGGGCCAATGAGCCTCTGTCCTGGGGGCTGCCCTGTGTGTTGTAGGGTGTTGAACAGCATCCTCAACCTCCATCCCCAAGCTGTGCTAAGCGGAATGCCTCCAGACACTGTCAATACCCAGAACTGCCCTGAAGCAAGAACCACTGCCTTACAGGGTGGTTGGAGGGTTGGACACAACCTGAGTGAAGGGCCTGGGACAGAGCCAGGTGCCAAGGGTGCTGAGCTGCTGATCACACTGTCGGCAGGGGGAGGCCCCTTGGGAGTCTCACTGTCATAGTCCAGGTGAGACCAGTTAGGAGAGAAGGACGACCTGGCTGGACACGTCTAGGGGTGGGCCCCACAGGGTCTGCCCACCAACAGAAGGAGGAGCGTAGGAACCTCCCAAGGTCCTAAACCTGGGTGGCTGGGAGGGCAGAGGTTTGACCCACAGGAGAGGGACCAGTTTAGGATGAAAAGCTGTGGCCTGGCCCCCTTGAGCCCTGGCTGCAGGTGGCCATGGAGGGCACTGCCCAGAGCAGCAGGAGGCGTGGAGCCCAGGGAAGCTGTGTCTGCAAGAGGCTGGGGACCTCTGCCCTTCCTTGTGGTTCCTACACCCCCTGAAGCCCAAAGGCTGATTGAACACAAGGCCACACATGGGGCCTGGAGGAGGAAACTCAAGTGTAGGGCACAAGAGGGAATAAAGGACAATTAGTGGATCTGGTGACCAGACATCCCCAGCTTCTGAGGGAAAGCCACTCAAAGAACCTTGTGGGAACCAGAGCTGCCAGCAATGGATTTTCCTCTTGGGCTGTTCTGTGGCAGATAAGCCAGCACCCCACTGTCCTCAGGCTACCAGAGCCCAGGGCATGCTCCCTGGCATCCCCCCGAGGCCATGACATAGGGCAGATGCTGGTGGGACCTGTGGTCCTTGGTTGGGTCTGCTGGTCCTACCCCAGGGGCCCACGGAGGGGAGGCATGTGTGTGTTTTAGGGGGGCACAGGAGGTAAGCTGGTACATCTTTCCTGCCATAGGAGAAGGTCTTCAAGAGCGTGAGAGTTCTGAGTGCAGCTGCTTGTACGGCTAGGTGGCATGTTTCGGTACCTAAAACCTGTTCCCTAAGAAATAACAAACCACCCGTCGGACATCCCCCTTCCTCCCTCCCACAACTTCAAAAGAGAACTAAAAAAAAAAAAAAAAAAAAAAAGAGAGAAACACCTGAGAGACCAAATAGAGGCCTCACGCCCTCACCAACCCTGTGCCCTGGAGGAGAGAATCCCGTCCTGCATCACCTTCCGCCGGGAGCGCCCGCTCTCAGGAGCGAGCTGGCGTGGCCGCGCAGGGGAGCGTGTGTCTGTGTGTGATGTGCCTTCATGCGTCACTCTATTTATGTTGTTCGCAGCCCAACGGTAGCGGCCAGGGCAAAGTCCCGGGGTCATTTTTGCTACCACCGCCGCCTCCAGTGGCCAGACCTGTGCCCCTTCCTATGCCTGATTCCAAATCCACCAGCACTGCCCCAGACGGCGCCGCCTTGACTCCTCCATCACCTTGTAAGTGGACGATGAAACCGAAACCACAACGCCCAGCGTCCCCAGCCCATCCAAACAGTCTCCACTGCAAAAAGAAAAGCCCCCTCCCTCACTGCCAAAGCCCCCCAACCCAGAGTGCCACGGAGCCTCCCACCCAGACAAGAGCAGAGCTGAGCCCCCCAACCACGGCCTCCTGGGCCTTAGTTGCACCAGCCAGCACCCCACTAGCCCCCCTGCCCGCCCGCTGCTCCCAGCTGGGGCCCGTGGCCCAGGCCCCTCCGGGGGGCGGGAGAGGGAGCACAGTGGGGCACACAGGCCAGGGGTGCTGGCCAGGGGGGGAGGGGGGAGGGGAGGCACAGCCATGCCATCTTCATGCCTAATTGCTGTTTTTTCATTTTTTGTTTTTTCGTTTTTTGATTTTTTTGTTGTTTCGTTGTGCCCCCCCCCCACACCAAGAAAATTAAATGTGACCACAAGGCGACGCCACCACCATCCCCTTTTTGCCTTTGCCCCCCTCACCTCCATTCTGGGTCCCTCAGGCCTCTAAAGGTGCAGCAGGCCAGCCCCTGATCCCCTCCCCTTCAGCCTTCAGTCTCACATTTGGTTTCTCGTTGTTCCTCTTTTTTTTTCCCCCCCTTCCCATCCCTCTCCCTTCCCTCAATTTCTTCCCCAGGTTGGATGTTCCAAGGACAAGGAAGGGCTCTGGGCCTTGGCTTACTTCATCTCTTTCTCTCTCTCTCTTTCTTTTTTTTTTTTTTTTTAAACCGATGACAAATTTTGTCAAAGGGAAGAGAAAAATCTGAGTTGAGAGGCCCAAGCTAGACCCGACGACGCTTGAAGGACAGGAGAGGCGGAGGGTGGGCGGCGTGCCGTCTGTGGGACTGTGGGCGGGGGGGTGGGCAGCGCTTCGGGCGCTCTGGGGGCTGGCAGGCCGTGGGCCAGGACTTCGGGACAGCGGCGGAAGGGGTGGCCCATCTCACCACTTTTCTTCGTCTCGCGCTCTCTGTCTCACCTTCTTTTTTCTTGGTTTGAGTTCTTTTCCCCTGTCCATCCTCTTCATGCCATCTTCTCATCTGCATTCGCCACAAGACACGAAGTCATGGTCATGGTCATTGGAGGTGGGCAGGGTGGGAGAGGGGGAGCCAGGCTGCGGGGTGGCTGGGGGCCACTTATGGACAGAATCTGGTGAGCACGGGGTCCCTGGGGTGTATCTGGTGCAGGGGGTGGTGGGGTGGGGGCTCCCAGTTAGCTGTGACACTCCTCGTCCTCTCTGGGGGCATCCTTCCTCCTGGGGGTGCAGCGCCAGTCCCCTCCCATAGGGTTCCAGCCAGACAACCCAAGAAGAGCTCCTGGGTATTTGGCCCATTTGCCCCCCAGACCCTAGAACAGTTGCCCCTGGTGCCCAAGCCCTGGGCCTTTGCCAGGCCCTCTGGCCGCCTCCTCGTCTTGTACCTCGGGTCCCTGGGAACAGCAGGACCATAGGACCTGGCTCATCCATCAAAGGAGGAGAATGTCTGCCGGGCCTGAGCCTTGCCCCCGCTGTGCCTGAGCCAGCAGCCAGCTCCCAGACCCCTCTCTGACCCTGACCCACCCGGCTCAGCCCTCTATTGGGACCCTTCAAGTTTCCCAAACCACCGGCCCAGTCCTTGGGCCCAGAGTGGTAAGTGGTGTAGCACCCAACTAGGCACCCCAGTTGGAGGGGTGGCCTGGCTGAGATGGCCTTCTCCGAGCAGGATGGGGCCAGTCTGCCAGAACTCCCACCCTCCCCGGCTCCCTCTTCTCCAGACCCAAGAGGGCCAGTAGGAAAGCAAGGGTACTTGCTTCGGGTGCTCTGGGACGAGGGGTATCCCTGGCCCTGCCTAGTGCCTGTTTAGGGGACAGAAGTGGGCCCATGGGGCCTCAGCTATAGCCTCCAGGGCCATGAAAGAGGATACCTGGCTGCAACGGAGTGCCAGGGGTGGGGGACTGTGTGCTCCTGGTCCAGTGAGAGGATGAGGGGGCCCCTCGGGCCTGTCCTTCCCACTGCCAGCTTAAAGCCCAGGCAACATGGTCTAACCTAGTCTCTCCCTCTCTCAGCAGTCCCAAAGGGCAGTGCCCGGGCAGGCTCCAAGTCCTCACGGGGTCTCTCCCTCTCTCCCCTGCTCCCCACAGCATTCGCAACGACAGGCGCCTCCTCTGCCAACCGGTTTGTCAGCATCGGACCCCGGGACGGCAACTTTCTGAACATCCCACAGCAGTCTCAGGTAGGAGGCCCTGCCCACCAGGTGGATGCAGGCAGGGGTGGGGGCATCTTGGTGTCCGGGAGGAGGCAGGGATCCTTGGGGCAGTCCGGGAGAAGAGGCTGGGGCAGGGCTGGAAGGCTCAGGCTTTTGCATGCCCAGCTGAGCCTGCCTCCCCAGGCAGCCCCCAGGCCCCCTGGCTAATCAGCTAATTGGATAATTAGCTCTGACAGCCCTGGCCCTGGGGAAGGCAGCCAAGGACCCAAGGCTAGAGGCGCTCTGGGCCAGGCCTGGTGGAAGCAAAGATGGAAGCAGGAGGCTCCATCCGGAGGAGGACAGGGTCTGCCTTGTTGCTTTCCTTTTGCTCCGGCTGGATGCCCTAGCCCCTGGCCCTCCCCTCTTCCTTGGTTTTGGGTGGGCTGGCTTGGGGGTGGAGGAGGGACAGAGGCGGCCTGGTGGGCCACGTGCCCAGAGACTCTGGCACCGAGGGTAAGGCAGGGCTCAAAGCCGCCCTGGAGGGGCGGCTCCCCCACGTCCTATGAATCCTGTTAGAGGGGAGGCCAGGCTGCTGGAGCCCCCAGTCCTGCTGCCATCTGCCCCCAGTTCTCACAAGGAAATGCCACCCCTCCAGCCCTCCTGCTGGAGGCCCCTGGACCTGGTTTTGCACAGGCATCTTTGCACACACATGCACGCAGGCCCTCTCCTCCCTGTGCCTGTGTCCCCAAGAGGCTGGGAATAGCCTGTAGAGCCCAGGGCCCTCAGGGCACAGGGACCAGCCTCTGGAGCAGGGCAGAGGCAGCTTTTACAGTATGAGGCTTCTGGGGAATGGAGGGGAGGGGAGCATGCAAATATCTTTTTCTTTTGCACATTTTACAAAAACACACCCTGTGAGCCCAGGGCCTTGGAGGCTTCCTCAGCCCTGGGAACACCTCTTTCAGCTTCTGCTCCCTCTTTGCTCTGAGGCCCAAGTCCAAAGAAAGTTGGTGGATGGAAGTTTTGTGTGTGTGGTTTAAGGTTTTGTTTTTTTCCCTTTTCCTTTCCCTCCCTAAAAAAAAAAAAAAAAGAAAGCCAAAAAACTTTGTCAAACTTCAAACTTCAGAGCTCCCTAGTGGCAAGGAGGGGAGGGGAGGAGAACTTCAACCCCCTCCAGCTTCCCACCCCCTTTCCCCAGAGTCACGTCTGACCCGTCTGGTTTCCAGGAGCAACCAGACATGATGTAACACCCAGATGAACTTGAACTTGGGGGTGTTGAGAAGAAAAACAATGGCTCCGAGCAGGGGCTGGAGCCAGCCCCCTCCGCTCTGTGCCAGGGAGGCCAAGAGAGCCCTGCTGGTAGAGGGCAGGAGGGGGTGCCAGAGGAAGGGACAGCAGGAGGGCCTCCCCTCCTGGCTCTGGGCTGGCACCAGGCGGCAGGGCTCTGGTGCCCCTGCCTGCCCACCCTCCCTCCCGCTGTCCGCCCTGCAGCTCTGACTGCATATGCGCTTGCTCACTCTCGGGGACCACTGCCATGAGCCCTCCCCATTCACCCCATTTCCGCTTCCACATGCTTTCCCTTCTTCACTTTCTCTGCTCACTTTGCTTGGATGTTGGGGCCAACTCAGAATCTGAGGCAAGTTTGGGAAACAGTTTTTCTTCCCCTTGTTCCTACAAGGAGCCTTGGGCCGGGGCCCTGAGCAGGCAGGTGTGTCTGGGGATGGGGGTTGGGGGGCCGGAGTCGGACAAGCCGAGCGAGCGGGGAGCCCTCGGGCCTGGGGGCAGGCAGGCGGCTGCAGCGGGCGCAGGGGGTCCAGTGGGGGGCGGTTTCCACAGTAACCAGTGACTTTAGCTGATCTCTGGAGCACCAGATGGAGAGAGAACAATAGAATGAGGGAAGAAAAGAGAATTTTACCAATTTTGTCATTCCCTGGGCAGCGTTTTTTACTTAGTTTTAATCAATTTTGGACCTGGCTCAGGAAGCAGGGAGGGGTGAGCAGAAAAAGCCGCTCCGTGCTTGGCAGCAGATCCCCCATTTCTGGGACCCGTGGGGAGGCACCAGGGAGTCCCGTTGGAGTTGTCTTTGTCCCTGACTCCAGGCCTGGAACCAGAGTCTTCCTCCTCTGAGGGGAGGGCCCCTCAATCTGAGCACGTCCCCCCGCCCCCCGCCACTGTGCAGCTCAGGAGACCCCAACGGGGCCAGTCTGGGGCCTTGGCTTGGCTTGCCAAGGGCATCGAGGCCAAGCAGATCCTCCCTGCACTGGTTGTCCCTGGCCTCTTTTCCCTCACAGGAAGGGGGAGGGGCAGGCTCACAGCCAGGGTGATGGTGTAAGGGTTCTGGTGTAGTCTTCCCTCGGGAAGGTGTGTGTGTGTGTGTGTGTGTGTGTGTGGGTGTCCCAGAGAACACTAACACCCGAGCCTGCAGGGACAGGGGGCTCACTAGGGCAGCTCCCCTATTCCTCCGGCCAGGACCAAAGCCTGGGAGCTGGCTGCTGAACCAGCCCTCCCCCAGCCACTCTGAGAATGCCTCAGGCCTGGGTTTCCTCCACACCTTGCTAGGCCCCCATGAGCCTCCATTTGGCCTAAAATCAGTCGATGGGGTTGAACTTTGGGCAGGTGCTCCAGGAGCTCCATCAAAGGAGGGCAGGTCTCCTCTCTGCATGTTGTCCAGTACATGGCAGGAAGTGTAGTATCTCTGCCCACCCAGTAAATGCTAGCAGTGCCCCCAGTCATTGTGGCAACCCCAAACCCCCGTGTTTCCAAATGCCCTCCATCTGCACTATCCAGTGTGGTGGCCACTGGCCACATGTGGCTGTTTAAATTAAATAACTAGAGAAAAATTTAGTCCCTTGGTCACACTAGCCATATTTCAAGTGCTTAGAAGCCATGCATTGTTAGTGGCTACTGCATTGGACAGCACAAATAGAGAATATTTCCATTGTCCCATAAAGTTCTAGATGATCTCCGAGGCCCTTTCTTCTTTTTTCCAGTTTTATTGAGATATAATTGACATATATAGCATTGTATAAGTTTAAAGTGTACAACATAATGACTTGACTTACATACATCACGAAATGACTGCCACAAGAGGTTTAGTAAACATCTATGATCTCATATAACCAAGGCCCTTTCTAACTCTAAAACTTGATGTCTCCGTCTCACGGTGGACGATGGCCTGCGGTTCCAAACCAGAGCCTGAGGGCCGTAGGCATAATCTGTGTGACCAAAACAAGTGTTTCAAATATTGGAAAATTTCACATGAAATTGTCTGGACTTTCAAGCTTCTTTTTTTTCTTTTTCAAATTAATAATTTATTTTTGGCCGTACCACATGGCATGTGGGATCTTAGTTCCCCGACCAGGGATCGAACCCGCACCCCCTGCATTGGAAGCTCAGAGTCTCAACCACTGGACGGCCAGGGAAGCCCCTCAAGCTTCTTTTGAAAATTTGGCTGATCTAGCCACCCTAGGCCCTCACCCTGATGTGGCAGCCTTGGCCACAGCCTTGGAAAGGTGCGGGTGTCCTGGTCACCACAGACCCTGCCTCCCTGTGAACACGCCACACATAGCAGTTAGGAGCATTGAGTCTGAGCTGCCCCCCGCATTTGAGTCCCAGCTTGGCCCTGTGGGCTGTGTGGCCTTGGGCAGTTCAGCCACCCTCTCTTCACCTGGCTTCTGTGCAGGGTTGGAGTGAGGATAGAATGAGTCAGCACCAGGTGCATGCTCTGTAGTTAGCTCTGCTTGGCCTCTGCAGATCTGAGTCTGTGAGACCCTGAGCCGGAGAGAGGCCCCAAGATGCATTTTCAGGGACCACCCACCACCATTTTGCCCCGAGGGTACCACCAGACATACCCAGGCACTGTAGACCATAGAGGAGAACCCCCTGCCCCGCCCCTTGGCCATGAGATGGGGCCAGAGCCTTTTGTGGAGGGTTCTGCCAGGCAGCCCAGTTCCCAGGGGTCCACCCTAGGTGTGTTTTGTACTGAGTGGCTGCCAGAGCCTGTTTGTGGGAAGGCGGCGCCCCCTGCTGGCACCCCGAGGGAAGCGATGCCCACCCGAGGGAGCCTCAGGTCTTCCACAGGGCGTGGCGCCCAGGAGGGTAGAAGATCAAGCCCACTGGGCTACTGATCCCTTCCCCCAGGCCTGGTACTGCTAGGGACTGAAGCCATGTGGTACCCACCCCTCCCCAGACTTTCAGGCTGTGGGACCTTAGCTGAGCTATGCAGATGGGAATTTCTGCTTTTAATCCAAAGAGACAGAAAGAAAACTCAGCAAGAAGCTGGGCTACCCCCCACGCCACTCCCCAAACCCCTCTGGGGACAAAAGCTGTAGCCTGGCATCCTCCCCCACCCTCCAGGACCCACACAAAAACCTAAACAATTGGAAACATGGCCAGATCCCAGGTCTGTGCTTGTGCCAGTGCCAGCCACGGGGGTTCACCCGCTGGGCACGGTACCCACGAGAAGGCCAGCTGGACTCTAGCACCGGAGGCAGGGTCTCTTAGGGGGTCAGGATCCCCACAGGAGGGACCGACAGAGTGGGGATGTACCTCTGCATGAGGTGTTGGTGTCCTTGGCTCTGCTGGAGCTGGACCCTCCAGGGGCCTCAGGAACCAGCCTGGAGTCACAGGACCAGGTGGGAGCAAGAAGGGACCTGCCCCTGCTATTCTCAATATCGCCTCTTTTTTCGTCCCATTTCAGTCCTGGTTCCTCTGATAAGATCGACAAAAGAAATGGCAAAATGAAAAGAAGAGGTTCCTCAAAAGGGGGGAGAAGAAATTTTGAGACGTGGAAAAAAATCCCCCAGCCCAGCCCAGCCCCACCGAAAAGCAAAAATTAGACGTCGTCAGCCACTCAGCCCTTCTCTCCTCCAGCCCGGGGACCCCTGCAGGCCCCCAGAAGCAGCTCAGTTCTCGGAGAGCCTCAGAAGAGGTCTCGGTGGAGCTGTGCACCAGCAGCCAAGCAGAAAGAAACATGCAAAACGGACTCTGTCAAGTAGAGGACAGAAAGAAAGGATGCAGAACTGCCTTCCTCCCCCCCACATCCCGTCCCGGCCTTCTGGGGAAGGAGCAAAATCCCCAAACAAAGCAACCAGCACAATTCTGAAGGGGCCTGTCCCCCACCCTCACCCTTCCTAGGGGAACCCCACCCTCGACTAGGGCCGGAGCTTCACTAGGGAGCTCAGAGGACCAGCTTGTAAAGATGATGGGGTGCAGATCCAGAGGGCTCTCCCCTCCAGACTCCACCCCCTCCCTCCCTCACTGCCTTTGCCTCTGGCTTCTTCCCCCAGCTGCTCTGGACCGGGTGAGGCAGGGTAGCCTCGCGATGTCCCTCTGCCCCACCCTCGGGCTAGAAGCCCCCCAACCCCGGCTGGGCAGGGGGCATCTCCCGGAGCTAGTTTTGTGCTCCCAGAATGGAGGTTGTTCTACCACCCGACCCTGAGCTGCAGGGGCAGTTCCCCGGGCCCCAAACCCCTCTGTACAGTCCATAGGAAAAGGTCGGAATGCTCTAGACAGCCCATCCCAGCCTGGGACAGGTCCCCTCTTCCCTCTCTCCCAAGGCAGGCCAGGAAGGTCACCGTCCTGACGTGCTACAAGTGAGGGGAAGTGGGCCCCAGGTTGCCCCCACACCCCAGCCCCGCATGCAGGTGCCCTCGCTCCGCCCCATCGGTCCCTGCCCCTGCCCCTACGCAGACAGCCCTGCTGTGGCCGGGCCGGAGAGTGGAGCAGAAAGGGGACCCCGGAGTCGAGCGAGGAGGACGAGGCAGCCGCCGCTGCCGTTGGCTAAACCGCCACCCGCGCTAGGTAGGCGTCCTGCTTGCCGACTTTCAGTTCCTTTGGAGGGTGTTGGGTGTCGTCCTTTTTCAGAAGTGTTTTGGAGCTTTCTCTGCCTCCCCTTTCCCCCACGCCACCCCCACGGCCACTTCTCTCTGGATTTCAGCTGTAATGTCTTTACTCTTTATTTAGGGGTGGGGCATTCATTGTTTCGGTCTTTTTGCTGTTGCAATTGGGAACTCCTCCATTTGAGCAACTTGGGAACAATTTGGTAACACACCACAAGAAGTAGCTCTCCCCCACCACCACCACCACCACAGCCCCCTCCTCCCCCAAGGGATGGTTGGGGGCCTGTCCAGAGGGTCTTCAGAAGCCCCCCTGGGAGGGAGGGGAGCAAGAGCACGCCCAGCCCGCCTCCAGGGTGTGACTTGGCCCCTCTGGCTTGTCTTTCTGTGCCTTACTCCCTCCTCCCTGCATCTTGGCCCCCTTCTGGAGTCCTTGTGCCTCTCTCTCTCTCTTTCTCTCTCCTTCTTAACTGTATGAAAACACAAAGCACAGGTCAGGATCCTCTGAAAGTCAATCAACCCAACGTTGCACCACATAGGGGTGGGTTATGGGCTTAATTTATTGTGAATCTAGTTTGTGAGGCTGTGGCCCCAAGCAAAGGGAGGGAAGGAGGGGAGGGAGGTGGCTGGAGAGGAGAGGAGAGCTCTTACCTGGGGCAAAAGGGGCCAGCTTGAGTGGTGCCTCCTCCCCAGCTGGAAGCCACAAGGTGGCTGGCCCCAGGGGTGGCTTTTGTTGGAAGTTGAGCGAAGCCCCTCCCCCATCCGCGTGCAGCCCTCGAGGAGGACCGGGTCTGAGAAGCAGGGGGTAGGGGAATCCGCGGGAGCCTGGGGGTCGTGGGGAGTAGGGCGGGGGGTGGGGGGCCGGGTGGGCCGGGCATGACGCGCGGTCAAAGTGCAATGATTTTTCAGTTTGGTTGGCTAAACAGGGTCAGAGCTGAGAGGGGAGCAGAAGGGACCCCTGCCCCCCTGCCCGGCCGCACACGCCCCTTCCCTCGAAGACAATCGGGGCCGCGGGCGCGGTGGGTCCTCGGGGGCGGGGGTCTGCGGGGCGCCCGCCCAGGCGAGGTCGGAAGCTGCAGGCCAGCTGGGCCGGGGCGGGAGCGCGCCCTGCAGGGCTGCCGGGGTGGGCACGGGGGTTGGGGGCCGCTCCTTTCCTAAGTGTTGTTGTGAGGGGCAGGCGAGGGGCGACGAGGGCGACAGGAGATGTGGGGACGTGTTAGAAGAGAAAAAACCCACAAAAAATATATATGGGGGAAATGAACTTTTTTTTTTTTCATTGAACCAAGTGCAATGCATCAGAGAGTTTTCCTATCTTTGTATGTTAAGAGATTAAGAAAAAAAATTCTATTTTTGTTGTAATGTCCTCGCGGCTCTGGGGACGCTAAAAGAACCGGGCCTGCCCCGCCTTGTGCGGGGGTAACGAAAGCTGAGTGTTTTTTCCTTTTTTTTTTTTTTTTTTTTTTTTTTTTTTTTCTTTTTTTAAGTCGTTTTCCTGCGTTGACGAGGATGATCTGGGGTTTTTATTTGTTTCGTCGTTCGTTCTCGGTTTCGGTGGGAGGGCTGAAGGAAACGTTCACATTTTAGAATTGAAAAATAAAAAAATCAACACCTCGACATTAAAAAACCAACACAAGATCAAAAAGGAAAAGGACGAGAGAAAATTATTTTAAAGATAATTCAACATAAAAACCCTGGTGCTTCTTACATTATAAAGTACGTTTTAAAAAACCCACAAACTATTATACATAAGTTTATGAATCAATTAAATATCCTGCACTTGTTAGGAACACGCATATCCCTTCTTTGTTGAGTTTAACGGAACGGGACAGCGGCGTGCGCCCGGCGGCGGGCTGCTCTGGCCGCGGGTCTCCCCGGGCGCCCCCTCCCCGGGGCCCAGCGCCCCCTCCTCGCCCCATCCCCGTCCGGGCCCGGGGGCGCGGCGGCGGGTCCCCAGCCCCTCCCCCGCAGAGGTCAATGCCAACGAACAAACGTCCCCTCCCTCCCTCTCCAACCCGAGCGTCCTTCTTTGAGCCAGACGCCAACTTGACCCTCACCAGCATTATCAGGAGCGCGCTCAGCAAGTTGGTAGTTTCTCCCCTCCCCCGCCCGCCACCGCTTCCCTGGCGCCCGCGACTCAACATCACCCTCCCACCCCCACCCCGGTCACCCTCCGGGGAGTACGGGGAAGGCTCGACGCTCCAGGACAGGACCAGCCAAGCTGACAGGTCGATTCGCCCAGGCCCGCGCACGCACGCACGCACGCACACGGCCCCGCACACAGCCCCATCCTACCCTGCAACCAACCCCGTCGACTGCCTTACACACCCGCCCCCGCGCTGGCCGGCCGACCTAGTGCCTTGTTCTCACCCCCGTGCTGGCGGAGCGGACGCCGCGCTCTGGGTCCCAGAGGGGCCGGGTGGCTCAGACGACCCACCACTTCCCCACCCCGACCGTGCTGAACGGACACCCCCCCCCCCCCCACACACACACACACGAGAGAAAATAAAGGAGCAATAAAGTCACGAGAACTTTCGACCCCCAATCGAGAGCCCGAGGGGCACCCCAGCCCCGCCTCTGCTCCCCCCCACCCACCCTTGGGGCGCCCCCCTCCCCCCGCAAGCCAGCCTGGGCCAGCCCCGCTTCGGCCCCGGGAGATCCGTGCGCCCGACCAGCACCAGCATCGCGGACCGCAAAGGCCGCCCGTCCCGTCAAACAAGTTTCTTCTTAGGCTAAGAAACGCAGTATATACGAGTATCTCTATATATAGTACTAATGGATTTGGTGTGCTTCCCCCTTAGCGTCCCCGTCCCTCCGCTCCTCTTCCTTCAGCCTGGTCTCCCCCTCTCTGCCCTCCACCCCCGTCTCTGCACTGAGATACATAAGAAACAAGGGTAGTTTACTGTCTGTTTTGTTTTCTGGGTTTTCAGTGTCCTAGCGGAATGCAAGTAGGCAGCCAGCCCGTACGTTCCCTCTCTGCCCCGCCCCACCCCACCCCGCCCCCGTCACTGCGCTTCTGTTATACCATCTTTGCCTGACTCTCTCCGGCTTCTCCATTGAATGGCTAATGTGTATGTGAAATAAAGAAATAAAGAAAAACAAAAGCAAGAGCGCCTGAGCCTTCGCTAACGCGATCGTGCGGGACAGTTTCGGGGGATCGGTGGGGTGGGGCCGCCGCATGGATTCTGCGCCTCTCTCCTCCCGCCAGGCCGGCGGCCGCCACCGTCGAGGAGCGCGTATCTCTTGGTCTCCGGGAGGGGGCGCCGGTGAGAAAGGAGTAGGCTCTCCGGTCCCTCCCCACCTCCCTCGGTGACCCCAGCACGTAAAAATGCGGCACCACTTGGGTCCGATGACCGCTCTGACGTGTTGGTTCCCGGGCCTCTCCCCCGGGAGGGGTACGCGGACAAGGCCACTTCCAGCGGGCGGTGGGCGATAAAAGGGTCTGCAGGGCCCCTGGGGGCGACGGTCGCCCTTCCAGACCCCCGGGCCCTTTCCCCTGTAGGGGACTCTTCACTGGTCCTTCTTCGGGGGAGTTATCTCCAGGGCAGGCGCTGAGCGTCGTCCGCCCCTTCCTGGACGGCCCTGGGCTGAGTTCCCAGTGCCCTTCGGCTCAGAGGCGACACCGTGGAGGTCATCGCACCTCCGGACTCACAGCCGCTTTTTCTGTCTTGATGGGTCGGCCCGCCCCACCGGGGCTGCCATCGGGGCCGCCTGGGGGCGCGGGCTGCGGGCGCGCCACCACCTCGGCCCTGCGACAAGGCCCGCGGCGGGCGCCGTCGTCCAGGGCTCGGTGCGCCGGCCGTTTGCGGGGCCCTGGAGGGGCGGAGCCTGCGGCCAGAGCCGCTGCCTGGTCGCGCAGCAGCCGCACCAGGAAGCCAATGTATTTCATGGCCAGGCGGAGCACCTCGTTCTTGCTCAGCTTCCGGTCGGGCGGGTGCGTTGGCAGCAGTTTCCTGAGCTCGGCGAAGGCGCCGTTCACGTTCTGCTGCCGCCAGCGCTCCCGACTGTTGGTGAACACGCGCCGGGCCACCTTCTGGGGCTGGTGCCCTGAGGACAGGAGTGGCAGGGTTGGCGCCATGGCCCGGGGGAGGCAGGCACCCCCACCTGCTCCCAGGCTCCCAGCACCCTCATGGGACTTCAACCCCGGCGGGGAGCTGGGCCTTTCTCCACCCAAGGGATACACACGTAGGATCCACGTGTAGCCCTCCTGCCAGTTAGCAGCCCCCCGCAGCCCCACCTCTAAGCTGCCTAGACAAGGACTATCACAGGCCCAGGCTGCAGACAACTGAAGCCTTCTGTACCTCTGTCTACACCTTGATGTTAAGGGCTGAAATTCTCTAGGGAATGTGGCTGCCGGTCCAGGGAGCTGTCCCTATGGTTCTCATTCTCATTCTGAGAGTTTCTCTCCCAGTGATTGTGGTGCCGTGCGTGTCTCAGGTGGCCTTGTGAACTCCTGGTATATCTAAATGGCTGTGGTGTGTGATCATTGCCGTGCGGTTGTGCTTGTGTGGCTAATTCCTGTGTGGCCATGGACCTCAGTGGCTGTGGTTGCGGTCCTGTGGCTCTCTCTCTCTTGTGTGGCTGTCTCTTGGATGGTTGCTGTCCCGTGGCTGTTTCCTGTGTGCCTGCGCATGTGCGTGGCTGTCGTTTTGAAGCCCCCCCCCCCCCGTGCCATGCTGTGTCTTGCCGCGACTCTTTGTGGCTCGTTGGGTGGCTGTGCTTGTGTGGAACTGGTCATTTGTCTGGGGTTTTGCACGTGGGTGTAACCTGCCTGAGTACTGAGCCCCTGTGTGGGCTGTCCTGTGTATGTCTGCGTGCGATGTCACATAACCTTTCCCTGTGGACGGCTACGTGACAGACGTGGGCCCCAGCAGAGATGGCTGGGCGAACACAAACCCATACTCACCCTCAGCCAGCTCCAGCTCACAATGGCTTGGTCTCCGCTTCAGCCGGCTGCTAGGGAAGGTGCTGAAAGGTCCTGCCGGCCCAATGTAGAGGCTGTAAGGGGTCGTGGGTCACTAATGCCTTGTGGGTAAGGACCCTGACCCCGGATTCCCCCCAGGCCCCAGTCCCCCACTGACCTGTTGAGGAAGGGGTGAGGGTGGTAACGCAGGGCCAGGGGCGCTGGGGCGGTTCCCAGGGTGGAGAGTTGCAGCAACGGGGGACGGAGGGTGCTTAGTTCCGTGGTGGCCATGGCTGCCCCTGGGGGCCTGGTGTGGCCCAGGCTGATCACTGGCACGCCAGGGGGCAGCCTGGGTGGCGAGGAGCCTCTGTGGCCCACCTCCTCCGCCTTTGGGGGCCCAGGCGAGGCAGGCTTTGGGGGCGGGGCAGGCACTGGGCTGGGGGCACACACCATCTTGGCCTTCTCGGTCATGGTGGGGCCCACCTCTGCCTGGGCCTCGGGCGGGCACATGGACCCCGAGGGGGTGCTCACCTGTGGGAGGAAGGAAGCCAGCGGGGAGGGGGGAATCAGAAGCCACCCCCCACCCTTAGCCCAACAGAGCCCTCAAATGGGAGGAAGACTGGAGGGGGTGGCAGTTCAGTGGGCAAAGGCAGCTGCAGGGTGGGCCCAGAAACTACCAGGACATGGGAGGGGGGCCAACACAAGGACAGGAGGTGCCCACTGAGGTGCTGGGCAGCACTGAGCTCAGCAATGCTGCTTCTGAGCTGTGACCCATGAGGCCTCAGTTGTAGAGCCCCTGAGCAAATTTCCCTTCTTCCAGAATCCCCTCTCGCCTGGAGCCTGGAGGGAAGGGCAAGGCAGGGAACCCATGATGGACCCTTTGACCACAGGGTGCCCCTGTAACCCTCAGATCTGATCCCAAGACCCTTCATTGACACCATGGACCTTGGAATCCCTCCACGATTGACTGACCCTTCACTGACCACTGCCCCCTGGCTGACCACGTGGCCCTCAGCTATAACCCTGAGGCTCTTCCCATTGTCTCCATGTCAGACTCTGAAAGTCCTCCATAATCACTCCAGTGACCACGCCCCCACCCGCTGAAAATGTCCCCTTTACGAACCCTGTGACCCCACTGCTGACATTGACTCCAGATGCTAACCCTACTGCCCAGCACAGAGTCATGCCCTAATCCTCCCTCTGGCTCTTGTGTCCTCCCCACCCCCCATCAGTATCCACCCCTTTGCACCCTGCTTCCACATCCCTGGTCACTCTTGGCCTCATGGCCTGGCGTGTCCCAGCAATGTCTGGGATTCCTGGCCCCTCTGCCCTGTCTTCCCTAGCTAGGCCTAGTCTCTCACTTAGTGGGCCCCCTAGATGAATGAAGGAAGGAATGAATAAATGAATGTAGTAGGGTCCGGGATCCCCCAATTTCAGGCCCACGCCACTCTTACCCCAGCACTGCTCCGGATGCCTGCTGATGGCCGTGACTCTGTCCTTCAGGTCCAGGATGTGGTTCCGACTTCAGGCAAGGCACCGCCGCCCACTCGGGCCCCTGCGCTCCGTGCTGCTGGCAGCCGGAGGCCCTGTCTGGGCCGCAGCATCAGGCCGCCCCGCTTCCTTGGCTCCCAAGGGCCACCGCGGCGGCGGTGGCAACAGGGTAGGTCCCTCCAGGGAAAGTGAGCAGCTCCGGGCCGCCTGCCCTCTCCCCGCCCCTGGCGGCCGGGTTTCCTCCCTCTCACCCCTGGCGCAGCGGCCGGAGGATGCTGGGCCAGTGCAGATAAGGGCCTGGCTGCCTGGCCGCGCCTGATAAGGAGCCGGGCTGACCCCGGAGGAAACCAGCGGGCGGGGATCTCCTAGCGCGGGCCTCAAGTCCCCGCCCCCAGCCGGCACATGCAGGACTGACTGTCACCCCTCAAGGCCTCACCTTCCATCCCCCCAGGCACTGAAGGATCCCAGCCAGGGTGCACACGCCTAGGAGTGAGGTGCCCAGTTGCATGCAGAAGGGACACTGAGGCAGGGATGGATGCAGTGGTCCCTACGTCACTTGGGTCTGTCCTCCAGCTTTGAATACCCCTTGCTGTGTCCGTGCTGATGGGGGTGGAGGAGAGCTCTTTCCGGCCCTGCTGGGGCCTCGTGACCCAGGGGCCCCCTTCTCCTCTCCTCACCCTGCCTGGTTCCTCTTTCTACAGAGTGCCTCCCCGCCTTTCTGCCAACCCCACCCTGGAGTGGGGCACTGACTGGAGGGCAGTTCTGACAGTTTGGCCTTGGGTGTCCAGCCTAGGCAGGTGTCTTGCCCCCCACCCCCACCCCATGCACTATCCACACCACCTTTCCAGGCCCAGGAGGGTGAGGGAAAGTGCCACAGCTGGGGGAGATTTCCTCCCATGCCAGAGCTGGCAGAACCTTCTAATAGGTTCCTCCCCAGCAGGTCCCCACAGTCCTGGGCCTCCACATCACAGGATCACATAGCCCCAACTCAGAGGTCCTTGGCCCTCATCCCACAGTGGGGGCCACTTCAGGGTGGACAGTGATAAAGAGGCATTGGGTAAGTATCTTGGAATGGCGGTAAAGCTCAAGTTCCTGCTGGGCCTCACAAAGGGAGGGGTGCTGGGTACCACAACGTAAGCAGTGACACTGTCAACATAACACTGTCCCTTATCCCCAGCAACCTTCCACCGGGTCAGTCGTACTTTGCCCAGTGCATATCTGGGTGACTGCAGGAGCCCCAGGCAGGCCCTCAGCTGCCCCCCAGCACCGAACCATCGCCCCCCCACTCAGGAATCAGGTGAAGCCCAGGACCCCACAAGCAACCTTCCTACTGTCCCAGGGAAGCAAGAGTACAGTTCTAAACATACGAGTTAACTCTGGTATCCCTACAGGGTGGGTTCTGGAATTAGGTTCATTTTACAGATGGGGATGAAACAAGGTAAACGGGTGCTTGCAGGGTCCCACAGCTACCACGTGGCAGGGTGGGGATTCTGCCCCAGGCCTCTTCGTTAACGCTGCCACCCGCCCCTGCCCTGGGGGGGAGGGGTTGCAGCAGGCTGCCGGGTGCCTCAGTGTGAGAGCCCGAGGGGCCGCAGGGCAGGAAGCACCTGGTCCGGAGCGGATGCATGAGGCGCCTGGTTCCGGTCCGGCTTCCGCCACCGGGGCCCTGGCGGGAACTGGGCCAGAGAAACCAGGCGGCGAGGTGGCGGCGGCGGGGGCGCGAGTCCATAAGCAGGCGCGGGGTCTAGAACACCAGCCTGCGCGCGTGCCTGCGCCCAGGGGGCGCGCCCACGCTGGGAGGGTGGGAGGAAGGGGAAGGGGGTAAAGGTCCCTGCGGGCGTGAGCGCACGACTGCCGCCCCGTGGCCACCTCGGGAACGGCAGGCGCCAGCAAATGGGTGGCTAAGCACCTTGCAGGAAGACGATCAGCTAGCTCCCCACCTCTCCAATACAGACAGAACACTCCCGTCAGAAACAATGACAACACTTCATTCGGGCAGGGACAAACACAGCCCAGGTGCACAGAGCTCCCCAAGGGAGTTAAAACAGATGGACAGAGGAACAGACCCCAGACAAGCAGCTGAAGAGATGGACAGAGCCCCTCCAGCAGATGGACAGACACACCACAGGCAGCCTCCCCATTCAGACAAAGGACAGTCAGGGGAAGGTGAAAAGTCTTTATTGGCTCAGTCTTCGCCTGGACCAGCAGCAGCCCCAGGCCCAAGGGGGTTCTGATCGGGGGCCTCTGGACAGTCAGTGGGGGTGGCTTCAGCAGTGGCCTTGGGTGTCAGGGGGCTATGCGAGTAGCAGCACTGCTCCCCACGCTGGCAGGTGCCCTGGTGGGAGTATGATGGGTGTGAATGAACCCTGGCCCGGAGCTCAGCAGCCTCTGCTGGGTTCCCTCCCTGGATGGGAAGCTCACTCCCACACACTTGCCTGGCCCCGGTTCTCCCAGCCCTGCCTGCCCAGTGGCCCAGCCCTGTTGCCGGGAGGCGAACCCATGTGTGCTTCAGTGGGGGCTGGGGGGCACCTCACCTCCTTGAACCTCTTGCAGGGAAATGTCTTGAGATGGGCAGCCCGCTGGGCCAGGTCCTCATCCGGCTCCTTTCGCTTATTTTGGAGCAGCTTGCGTCTCTCTTCCACAGCTTCGCCTGCCGCCTTGCCTCTGCGTAGGGAGATGAGTAGCGGAGGCTCCGTCTGGCCTCTGTGCCCACTCCCCCCAGCCGAGCCCCACCCCCATCCCACTCTCACTCACCGTGGCCGGGCGCGGGGCCGGGGACCCCAGTTGGCCTCGGGGTTGGCCTGGAAGCGCTTGAGTCCTCGCTGGCGGGAGCTGGGGTTGGCATCGTCTCGGATGGTGAAGTTGGCCTGCAGCCTAGGGAAATGAGGGTGGGGGCTGAAGGGCATCTACCAGGCAGGCGGGCACACACCACCCAGGCCGCCTGCCCACCTCAGTGCAGCTCGACGTGCTTTGGGAAAACTGTGTCTGCAGACGTCAGGTTTCTATCATTCATTTAATAAACATTTATCAAGTGCCTACGGTGTGCCTAAAGTCTGCTGCCGGTAAAGCTGACATTCTAATGCACAAGACAGGCAAGCAATGGGGCAAATCAGAAATCAGCGAACTATAACGTGTGAGGGCATGAGATTAAGAGTTTTGGGGAGTCTGGGAGCCATGCAGAGGCCCTGAGGAGGGGCTGTGCCTGGTGAGTTTGGGTGAGGAGGCCAGTGTGGAGTTGGGGGTGGTGGTGGACGAATGAGGGCAGGGAGGTGAGGGGGAGATGGTGCAGGGCCTGCAGATAGAACTGTTTCTAGTGAGTCAGGTGGGAGCCACGGAGGGTTCTGAGCAGAGGAGGGACGGGATCTGACTTGTGCTCACAGGTGCCCTCTGGCCGCTGCGGGGGGAACAGAATGTGGGGGGAGGAGAGCTGGGGGACCAGGGTGAAGGCCACTGCACTGGTCCAGGTGAGCAGTACTGGGGCCAGAATAGGGTGAGGGCAGAAGGGGAGGGAGAGAAGTGGATGGATTCTGGATCTCACTTGAAGAATGAGCATGTGTCTGTGAGGAGAAGGGTCTGTGTCGTCTACTTCCCGTGCCTGCGGGCAGCCGTATCCGTGCCATGCCCCTACCTGGGCTCCACACTGAGAATGCGGAATGCCGGACTGGTCTCCGACAGGCGCTCCCGTTTCACCGGACACTCCTTCTCCTGGGAGGCAAAGGTCAGAGGTCAGAGGATGCTGGCACTGACCATCCCCTGCCTTCCCAATTCCATCTGGTCAGGCCTGGCCTCACCCAGCAGCGCATGATGTCCCAGAGGGCCGAGGAGGGGGCATCCGTCTTCACGGCATTCTTACAGGCGTGGGAGAGGGAGACACGGAAGCCAGCATGGAGGAGGGCAGACCTGGGGACCGGGAGGGATTGTGAGAGGGAGGGGAAGGCTGGACCCCAAAGTCGGTGCTGACCTGTGAGTGTGACCCTTGTTTCACAGACTGGCGTGGCTGCACATCTCCTGGTGACTACATTGCCTGCATAATGCCAACCACCTTAACAGTAAGACTATCCCCGTGGCCAGGGCTCATGGCTTCCAAGAGCTGTTCTAAGCTCTTGTGCATGAGAAGCCCTACACCGGGGTTATGTTTGATCTCCATTTTATAGGGGACTCCAGTCCAAGAGGGACCCGACTTGCCCAAGGGCACCCAGGGGTCAGGCAGAGGCTCCACCCCGGGCCCGGCCTCACCTCAGCTGCAGGAGCCTGGGCGTGCTACAGTGGATGGTGCTGCTCAGCTGGTCCAGCGTGTAGTAGAGAGGTACATCCAGGAGCTCCTGCGAGAGAGGACGGGGTGGGTGTGGGGTGGACCGAGGAAGGATGGCTGGGCACCAGCGGAGCCTCCTCCCAGTCACGGCGCAGTCCCCACCTCAGCGACGACGCTCAGGACCCCACGGATCCGCTCAGCGGTGTGGAAGCGGCCAGGGTTGGCGCTCACAGCCTCTAGGACACGGCCCACGAAGTCTAGGTCGTGGAGGGGCTCTGCCCACATGGGGCCACCAAGCTATGGACACACAGGGACCAGATAAGCAGGGATCAGGACAGCCAGGACCCCCGCCTCCCCCTGGCCTTTCCCCCCGCACCCCCACCCAGCCCCACCTGGTGTCGCTGCCCACAGTGCTCACACTCCGGGGCCACAGGGGGGCCGCAGGCTGCAGAGAACTTGACCCTGCACAGAGAGGGGTGAGGTCGGGGGTGGTGACCCTGGCTGGGATGCCCCCTTCACCTTCCTCCCCAGCTCACCCTTGCTCACCGGCCACCGGAGGCTCCTGATGCTTTGCCAAGGCGCTGGAGGTGGAACGCCCCGCAGCCCACACACTGGAACACCAGCGCCTGCTTGCTGTGGGAGACCAGGGTGGCCACCAATTCCTAGAATTGCCACCACACCCCAGCTCTTCCCTCAGGCTGACTGGGTCCCCTTTGGGCTCCCCAGGGCAGCCTTCCCTCCCCCCGCCCCGGGAAAGGCCCCGTTACCTCCCTCATCCATCACCCTTCCCTGCCCCAGGCTAACCTGGCCGAGGCCTTGACCTTGGCCTGGCCGGTGAAGACACGAACAAAAATGCGCACGTAGAAGTCAGCGCTGATGCTGAGCAGGGGCACCACAAAGCGCTGGTAGCAGTTGGCGTGGAGGTCCAGGCTGTGCAGGACAATCCTCAGGGCCTGGCGTGGGGGATGGGTGCCAGCCATCAGTCCTGCCCCCACTGCCACCTCCCCTACAGGGAGCCACACAAGGTGCTCGCAAGTACAGGGTCAGGGCCGGCTCCCTGGGTTCTCAGCCCAGCCCTGAGTGACCCTTGGCAAGTGAGAGCCTCAGTTCCCTCATCTATGAAATCACAACAGTCTGTCTCTTTAAGGCCCTGGCACTAAATGATTAAGGAAGGGACTTCCCTGGCGGTCCAGTGGTTAAGACTCCACGCTCCCAGTGCGGTGGGCATGGGTTCCATCCCTGGTCGGGGAACTAAGATCCCACGTGCTGTGCAGCACGGCCCTCCCCCCCCAAAAAAAAATGATTAAGGAAAGCACAGGCCCAGTAAACCAAACCTCTTCCAACTAGCATTCTCAGCATGCCCCATGCTGTGTGATGTGGCACAAGGACCTGCATTCCTCTGGGCAGGATACTGGGTGCTGCGAACTACTGGGGCCTTCTCCTTGCCAGAGGCTGCAGTAAG